ATTAGAATTACCTAAGAGGTTTGGCTGATTGTAAGGCTCCCGCTCCATGGTTCCAAGCCTTCTAATCAATATGAGGGAAAGTACTTACTTTACTCTGCAGCATTAAACATGTGTGCATTAAATCTGCCTAAAAACAAAACTGAAGAATTTGACATATGTTAAATAGATAAGAAATTGATCCATATACCATCCCAACTTGGAATTCAATCTGTAGAAAGACTTTTCATTCTGGTTACAGCAGTTTTATTATGATGATATAAGATGTTACAAGTTGAATCATCAGCAAGTTAGAAATCTGATCAATGCCATGTCACAATGTCTGTCATTGTAACCAAAGGTTAAGGACAGGTTACCAAACACTGAAAAATCTTACATTTTTTTTTCATAATTATCCATCTATGAAATGAATCAGAGTGTAGCCATAATCAGTGGGTTCAACAGCTGGGATGCAAAAAACATGTATGCTCTTACCAAGAAGCATTAGATTGAGAGAACCAGGTCTAAGGCTTATTAAGGGGAAAAACTAGAAGAACTAGAATTTTTAAAGCTGGGATTTTGATGAAGGAAGAAACAAGTCTGTCCTTACAGAATTTTCAAGTATCAAGAGGAAGTTGTTTAACAAGAAAGGGTAGCAAGGATTGAAGCTCACCATTCAAGTCTATAACTAACATTGCTGATGGCACAAGCTCTTCCCTTAGGTTTTTTGTTCCCAACTATCTATCTTATTTGGAAAGAAGACTTGGGTCCTGTTATATGTAGCATAATAGCCATGACATATTATAGTCAAGTGAAAACCTCATTCTCATGTAAATAGAAATTTGAACTTCTTGGATTTTTTTTAAATCCATATTGCAGGTGACTGTATCCTTATTTGCATTGGCATTTGTATTTAGCCTTAGAACAGCTAAGATTTCATTGCAATTTATTATAAACTGTAGGTCAGTGTCTTGAACTTAGTACCTTTTCTTTTTTAAATCACTCACAAGTTTCCTCACTCATGTTATCAAGCTCGGCTTTTGGCAGGAGGTGAAGGAGAAGAGTTCAGGCAGCTTCCCAGCTCGCTCAGCCAGTCCCGAGGACTGTGTGCCCAGGAGGTCAGCGGTTAAGAGCAGCTAGGATTTGTGGTCTTTCGCAATAAGGAGAGAGGAGAGTCTTTCCCATTCCACATTAGGAATGGAATATTACAGTTCCTGGTACCTCATAAGTTTCCTTTTATAGATTTGGATGGGATTTGCCTTTCTCTCAGCTATCTTGTCTTCTTTAATTCCACAAGCACAGTTTTCAGAGAGATTCAGGTAAAAGTTATATTATACATTAGGATAAAGAAATTAAAGGAAGCTACGATCACTTTTAAGGATGTTGTAACACCATTTTGAAGAGTAGAGATCATTTGTGACCCCAAAAGATTGATTAGGAATTTAAGTGATATTACCATGAATGAGTGGTATTTTAATAATATTATGTTGTGATTGTAAGGGTGGAGGACAAACGGTGTCTCCTCCAATTCCAGCTGCTTTTCAGTAAAACTGAAAAAGTCATTCCAGATCATTTTCTGTCAAAGTAGTTTTGGCAGAGCAATGCCATTTCTAGCTTGAAATCTCCTAAAATGATTGTCACTTAGTAGATAGTTAGACTATGTACATTTCAAAAGCTCAACAAATTAGAAATACCTGATTAATCTGCATACATTTTAGGGAGTATTATCTGAATAGTCTTATCAGGAAGCCAGACGATGCAGTTTAGAAAATAAATTCACTTTATTTGTGCCTCTGATATTAATTGAAATCAACATGGCCAGCCCGCCCCTTCTTCTTCCTCCATTAGTTTTTACTGATTAATTAGAAAGAAAGAATCCAAAACTCTAAAGTATTAAATACTAGGGAATTCATTTTTTGAATGCCTAGTCTCTTGAAAACAAATTATCTTAACATTTTAAGTGGATGGTTGCCAAGTAACACACTCCTCATTTAGCGTTGGTTTTTCAAGTTCAAGACGAAGAATTTTAGTCACTGACAAGTCTTTTCCAGATAGCCCTGGGGGAAGAATGGCCAATTTTAGCTGCAAGTTGTGGGTGCTCGTATTGTTTTATTTCCTTTGAATATCTGTGACTAGAACTCCCAGAGTTAAATGTGGGCTAAAGTGTAAATCTACGTACTTTCCAGGTCCTTTTGGAGATGTTAATAACATGGCATCAGATAAAAGTTCCTGTAGACAGTTGGTTGGGATACTTTGCACACCACTGCCCTTCCCTGAGATTCCCATGTGCAGTAGGAGAGCAGAAGCTCTCAGGAAGCTTGTATTATACCTGCTCATGTAACTTAGCAATTCTCAAGTTTATTTGAGCACTTCACTGCTGGTGGTCTTCCTTCCAAAAACACAGAATTAAAGACTAATCATGAAAAAACAGAAATTTCAATAGAGAGGCATCTATAATTTACCTGACCAGTACTTCTCAAGGTCATCAAAAACAAGGAAAGGCTGAGAAACTCTCACAGCTGAGAAGAACCTAAAGAGACATGGAAATTAAATGTCATGTAGGATCCTGGATGGGATTCTGGAACAAAAAAAAAATACACTAGGTAAAAACTAAGGTAATCTAAATAAACTATAGACTTTAGTTAATAATAACATATCGGTGTTGCTTCATTAATTATAACAAATGTATCATACTAATATAAGATATTAATAACAGGGGAAATTGGGGGGGCATGCAAAATCTCTTACTATCTGTTCAATTTTTCTGTAAATCTAAAACTGTCCTAAAAATATAAAACCTAGTAACTTTCGAAAAAACAGTATTAACATGGCATGTACTTGTTTATGGGAAACTTTTTCTATTTACAAGTGTTCACTCTGCACAAAAAATAATTTGAACCATATAAGAATATGGAAATTTTAATTAAGCTGCTCTGGTAAAGGAAAAGTTAAAAAAAAAAAAAAGACCTGTAAAGATGAGAATGCTGAGCCAACGGTCTTACTATCAGTAAATTATTGTGATCAAGGTCACAATTTGAATGTAGATGACTTATTCAGTTCATTAGACATATGTAGATGTTACAGCAACTCAGAAGAAACGCAATCATTAGGCTCTCAAATTAGGTCCTTTGATATTTGACTAGAAGACAATGGCAGAATGGAGTCTAGAACCTTGCAGGACCATCTTTATAAAAGACGGAGCGAAGTTTCCAGATGTACACGTGGAGGGGTTAGTTCTGAGGATGCACTCCTCCCAGCAGGCTCTCATGTCTCAGACATTTGTCATGTCGGGCTTGGAACATTCATTCAGTTCTCTATGATATCTGGGGACAGATTTGCAAGTAAGCCTTATTATTGGACTTCGCAAGTTTTCAGGCTCCCCTTCCTAGGCCAACAATTCCAGAAAAACAACTTAAAATATTGCATAGCTAATGACTGGTGGTGTGATGACTGTTAGTATAATTATAATAACAGTAACAAAGGTAGTAACTACTGTTTACTGAGCATGCCTGCCAGGGGCTGTGCTGAGCCCTTCATTTTATTCTGTTTAAACTTTGCAACAAATCAATAAACTAAGCATCGTTGTCCTCATTTTGCAGGCGCGGAAACTCTTCTGTGCATGCAGTTCTTTGCACACCATCAGTAGTGTAGGGATGCTCTTTGGTTTACTCACGAGCCCTTCAATCAGTGTTTTAAAAGTTAAACTTCTTATATCCTGTCTGAATATGCTCATAAGGGCGATAAATAGAACATTATGGGAAGTAATTTGCCCGGGGGAGGTTTGGTGTCGTCATCAAATTATTTTAAATACATTGAATCATCTAGTTCTTCCTGGAATGAACAGAAAATTAGAATAGGGACCTGAGGATAGCATCAAAATTCAGTAAAAAAGAAAAAACCCAGAGAGATGCTTGTTAGGAATCTGGTAAGAAAACTTACTTTCTTTAAAGCTTAATTTATTTGTAGTGTTACTAAGCAGAGCTTGGTAGCTAGAAGTAGATTTGTTTCAAGGTTTTTGCTTGAGTTACTGTTTCTGAAAAAAGGAAAATATTCTTAGTTTCCATCATAGACCGTCATTGACTATGTCATCATCAGTGTGGGGACAATAGATCCCATCAGTGAAGATACATTTCTGGCAACAGCTTTTCAAAACTGAGTGACGTATCACCTCCCGTCAGCTACATCTCTAACTTTAGTGGCATCGGCATATAAGTGAAGGCCGGGCAGTATCATTTGCTTAACGTGTACAGAACACCTACTCCATGATTTATTCAAACTTTACTATAATTTATAGCCACTGAATATATGTTAGTCATCTAACTTGATTGACTTAATTGTGAAATAATACTATAAGTTATGACATAAGCCTAAAGTTATAATTTTTGTTTTCCACGTAAGATTTATACTAAGAGAAAATGCCATTCCCTTTAAATCTATAGATAAAGTTTGGGAAAGTTTGCTGAACAATTAAGCCAAAACTATCTTTCTTTTAATACACAGTATCCAGATAACATATCTACCTCTGGTTTGAATTGAACATCTTAGAAACTGGAAGGGCTGATATATTGGCCATTGTCTTTTCTAGGTTTCAGAGAGTTGTAAGTTAAGAGTACTTGGAGTAATTCTCTGTAATCCAGCATTTCCCCTCAGCCAGTCTTTCCCCCACCATTTTCTATCCAGTGTTCTCATACTACAGATTTTCTCTATACTAGAGAATTCTGTTGCTGTAGAGTCAGCATTATATGTCAGTGAAAGTTAGCTCAGAAAGGCCAAACATGAGTTTAAAACAAAAACAATATATGTGAACTGATAGTGAGCTTATATTAAAAGAATGGATATTTTAGAAAAGATCTATAAAAACCAAGGTGTTCACAGTGGCTACCTCTTGATAGTAAAAGTATTGAACATATTTTTTGGACCATAGTTAACCACTGAGTTTATAATTTTTCTCTATCTTATTGCTGCTAATACCAGATAAGTTCTCCCCAGAGTGACAGCTGCCATTTTTCCTCTTCCAACCCCAGGAGAGGTCACAGGGCATTGAAGAATGGCAGATGATCGGAAAGATGAAGCAAAGGCGCCTCACTGGACCTCAGCTCAACTAACAGAGGCATCTGCACACCCACACCCACCTGAGATCAAGGATCAAGGTGGGGCAGGGGAAGGACTTGTCAGAAGCGCCAATGGATTCCCGTACAGGGAGGACGAAGAGGGCGCCTTTGGAGAACATGAGTCACAGGGCACCTACTCAGATACCAAAGAAAATGGGATCAACGGAGAGCTGACCTCAGCTGACAGAGAAACAGCAGGTAACTACGGGTTCTGTCACCAGTGCTTGTTTTGTGCTTTTGAAGTCTGTTTAAGCTGAAAGTGAATTAATTTACAGCCCTGATCTTCTTTCCCTACTGGTAGAACTGAAATTCTAGTCGGTCAGGGGAAATACACACCAAAAGAAGAGAAGAATTGTGTGGATTAGCCTGACACTCCCCCAAATTAGTTGTATTCTCAATCTCATCTCCCTATTCGTTTTTACCACTTAAATTTTAGTAGACAAATGGCTCAGTGTATGTGTGTTCTGCTAGTAGCCATCAGCATTTTAATTCACTGAAAGAAAACTTCACAGTTTCTTATTGATTCCCTTGAATGGTATTGGACTTAAATCTGATTGATTGCACAGAAACATGTTTACTTTTTAGGGTGGAAAGGAATATAGAGTCCATCTCCCCAACTTTAAGAAGAGAAAAAAAGAAAAGAAAAGGAAACAAACACACATAGAGACACAGGAACCATTTCATACTTTCTCAGATAGCTTTTTAAGAACTAATATACAGATGCTTGAAGAACAAAATATAATTTAATCTTAAGTACTTCCTTTCAAAGTGTAATCTCTACCAATAGTCCTCTTTACTGTTGATAATATTGTCATTAATGGCACAGGGAAACACTAGCCTGCCCT